ATTAATATGTAATGTAACGCAATGTAACGTAATGCAATGTAATGTAATGTTATGTTATGTATGTGTGTGTATGCATGCATGTATGTATGTATGTAGGTATGTATGTAGGTAGGTAGGTAGGTATGTATGTATTTACTGTAATTCAATGTAATTTATTGTATAATGTAATGTATACATGCAGGCATGTAATCATGCTTTTCGTAAATACAACCGAGTCATTTGATCTCACATGTGTGTACGTACAAACAAGTACGTTTTCTTCTGGTATATATGTAGGTATGTGTAGACATATTGTTGAGGGTTCCATATGTATACACACGGACTGATATAAGCTACTTCCACTTGGTGTTGTAATTCATGGTCAACACATATGACCTATGAGCTACGTATGAAACTTGCCTGGAAGCACCTCCAGTTCTCATTTGGAAGAAGCTATCGCAAACCGTGGCGGAATCTCTTTAATCTCTTTGGCTACAGCGCTAAGCCCAAGGAAAAGAAGTCCTTCAGAAGGGACGACTGTGCCACAAAAGAACCCTAAAGCCTAAACCCTGAACCCTAGATCTCAGGTTTGGGGTCTATCCGAGCCTCATCAAAGATGCTGCGGGGTGCCTAGCCCTGCGCTGCCGAAACCCTGGGTGCGGGCCAGCAGCGTGACCGACGCGACAAGGGTGAATCTAATTGCCGAAGCATGATGTGCATACTCAAGGGCATAGTACGTACCTACCTGTGTCCAGGCAAGGAAAGAAAGCGAGAGAGAGAGAGTCCACACTCCATCCCCAAAGCAAAGCAAAGCCAAAAGTCCCAACCCCCAAGCAAAGCAAAGAGAGAGAGAGAGAGAGAGGGAGATCCGGAAAGAGAGACGCAAGGAGGGAGATGGAGAGACGAACAATAGTGGATAGGATCAGTGTGTATGCCTATGTAGCTAGTTTTCCATGCGACATCGAACTTCATGTGTCGGTTTAACGGCTCCAGAGCGTGAAGCGACTTGTCTGAAGCAGATACAGCCAGATAGGGGTTGGAGAATCGTTCCAAGAAGCTGAAGTCAGGAAAATTCCTGGTTGCCATGGCATTCTCGGACCTTCCGTCCAAGTTTCTCTGTTCTGACGCTGCCCGGCACGTGTCCGCTCTGTTTATCCGAAGCTGTACTCTACGGAGATGAACAGGTGGTGGACTGCTCCTCAACTAACTTGGGCCAGTGGGTGACACAGGTTCCTCAGGAGTCCTAAACCCCTCTCGCCCCGAAGGCTTGAAACCTAACCGCCCGGCCCCTCGGTCGTTCACATCTCCTGAGGTCATCTCCTTGGGAGACGATGCCTTTGCCTTCTGTGTAGGCCCAGAGCATGCGAGAAGCCCCCCACGGCATGGATTTGAGCAGCAACTTGAGTTGTCATTGGCTACAACATGCCAAAGCTTCTTGACCTCCGGTGTGGATGAAATCTGGAGGTCGGCACATTGCCCTTTGCCACCAAAGTCGGCAGAGGTTAGGCTTCCTGGGTCGGGACACCAGGCCGGGCAATGAGTTGGCTTCGAGCGAGCTTTCCGGCTCCCCGCAGATTTCGCACGAACGCAGGCATAGAAACATCACTGCCATGACGAAGCTGCGGGCCTACAATCGGCAATTGTGGTGCTCATGGCTGCCCAGCTGAAGCAGTTAGCCGTCTCCGAGGTCTGCGAATGGCAAGCTGATAGCCGTAGGCGAGCGTGTTGGGTCTGCAGCTCAGGAGTTCCGCATCCACCAGCTTTAAGCCACTATGTTCCATGTGCGTCGAGGTCGGATGATGCCTCCAATCAGCATGCTGTGGACCAAGAGAACATGCGAGACAGCAACCTTTGTGTGCTGACCAGGAAAACCAAATGTAGTGCCCGACGGAAAGACACGGGTTTCCGAGCCCGAGCACGAATCATCTCTTAGAAAAGCTCTCTGCTTTCGGAGCCACTGGTTCAAGGTCGAGCATTGAGATTTCTTCCTTGTTCGACCCCTCAAACAGAAGGAGTACCACAAGCAGGCGAACAGCGCAGGACTAAGCCGAAGATAAGTCTGCCCAGGCTTCACAGATCAGTGTGCTCAGCCTGCCGAAGGCAGGGCTTCCAGAGTTTGCAGAAGGTTTTGTCCAGTGTTCGTCGTAGTTTAGAAAAGGGCTTCCTGCGTTTCTGCGTGCAAGATACGTGCGTCTGTCGCTCCTCGCAATGGTTGCACCTCCAGTCAAGAATGTAGCTGTCCGGTAGCCGGTTGCCTTGCCGAAGGGGCTTGTGAACACAGGGGGCCCTTCGATTCCGTGTGTCAGAAGCTACTTGTGTACCTCTTGCGGACCAGGTGGAGAGCATCGGAGAAAGCAAGGCCGTCACCGCACCGTGGTGGAAGGGCTGGCACAGTGTCGAACATGTCGCGCACAGTTCGAGGGTCAGGCATCTAGGTGCCAGATGCCTAGGTGAACTTTGAAGTTCTGACATGTAACTGTGTGTGCATGCTTGTTTGTAATTCCAACTGTCGCTTGCATTGCCGTCCGGATGACATATCGCACGTGTTTTCAAGCACAGGTTGGGAGAAGCTGAGTTGTTGCGTTCTGGCAGGACATGAAAGACGAGTCCTTGAAAGTTCTCCACCCGACGAACAAGCGACTTGACATTGTAGGTGCGCAGCATCAGGAGTATCAACTTCGTGTTCCTGCTTCAGAGCCTGCGGTGTTTTGGCGCTCAACGAACATCTGGACGAACAAAAGGGCGCTCTGGCTCGAACCTGGGGTCAAGAAAGGTCCCGTGCTAGCTAAACGAACAAGTGTGCCTTAATCCTGAATTCTCAACTTCATTTCTTGGAAGGGATATTCCTGCTGCCCAGCTTGCTCTTCAGACTTACTGCATGATTGCCGGCAGAAGCCATCGTTGCTCATTGTTCAAGGTGAGGCCCAGAAAATCTTCATTTTAGCGTCTGGCCTCGTCTCACTGCAGGCCAAAAGAAGATTTTAGCGTCTGGCCTCGTCTCACTGCAGGCCAAAAACACCAAACCCCTTCAATTTGAGGCTGGTTCTAGGGTTAAGGGCGGAAATCCAGACTGAAACCCCGCCAACTCAATGCACCCTAAACCCGAAATCCTCAGCCAACGGCTAGAACTGTTGCCAGACCTCGCCTTCACGGCGGATGGCAAGCACCTCGTGTCCCTCTCTAGCATGCCGGACTCGACGGCGCGACGCCCATCTTCCTCTTCGTTTTCGTGTTGTGAGGGGTTCAGAAGTTGAAGTTGTTTATATGTCTTTATGGATTCTGGGCTGAGCTGAGGCTTTTTGGGGATAGTCGTTCCTGCCTAGAGACTCCACTATCTCTTAATCAAAGGAGCCCTAATAAAGGATCCGAGCTCTAACTGAAAGAATCTTTCTCAATGGCGGGCTTGTTCAGTGTCTGGGTATCAAGGACAGCGAGGATGGCTTGTGTTTCGATGCAGGTCTCCTACTGGCGCTGGGATGTTGAGAAGCTGATGTCCTCGCATGACATGCAGATTCCAGCCGCCTACTCGGTCAAGATTCATGCCACGACGTTCTGCGAAGGACCTGACAAGTGGAAGAAGTGCTGTTGATATCGAAGGAGGATGACTTGTGCCAAATGGTGCGGTCTCAGTTCTCCAGTCCTGAGCATCGTCTCCCTGTCGTCCCTGCAGAATCTCATGGCTCTCCAACTGTTCGTGAAGATGGGATGAGCCGAGGTCAACCGGGTATTGGTGAACCCGAGCAACGTTACACAGTTCTCTGTCGGAGGGTGCCTCGCTTATCCGAAGGCTGAATGTGTGTGGATCACTGCTCGCTTCATCCTGATGTGTGGCTCGCGATGTCGTTTTTGGATCTCTCGATGAAGAAGTAATGTCTGGTGTGCCAAGGTACTCCTACTTCAGACTTTGGGACTACAATCCCAATGCACGAGCCTCGGCCCTTCGTTGCCTTTGACGCAGAAACAGCTGATCATGGTAATCTCTGTTTTGGTCTTCATCGTTGCCATGCTGTAGACGACGAGGAGTCATGAGAGCACACATGACAGGTATGTGGATGATCATGATGATGGTGATGATGGCGATGACGTCGATGACGACGACGACGAAGGTGATAACGACCACGGCTGCCGAAACGTCTGTGACGTAGACCATATGCTCACTAGCATGAGGATCACGAACATGACGCTTTTGGTCATGGACATGAGTTCATGAGCATGATGGCATGTTGACGAGGCCGATGATGGTACTGATGGTGATGGCGATCGTTATGATAATGGAAACGTGGCGATGGTCATGTCGCCCTCATCCTTATCAGTGTCATCCTCATGGCCATCATCGTGGCGGTCGGCTGTTTTGGCTTGCGTCTCGTGACTGAACCGAGCAGCAATTGCCAAAGCTCCTGCATGGTCAGGACCATGGCCTGAACGAGAACCCATCCCTGTTCCCGCTGAAGCAGGAGAAGCAGATGAAGGCCGGTGAAGCGAAGCAGATGGGAAAGACGAGCTGGCCTTCTCGTGTTACATCCCATCTCCGCTCCTCCTGCTCTCATCCTCGTGTGCTTCTTCATCGTCCTCCAGCTAAGGCGGCCAGGCTTTGGCTTCTATTCCGCCTACAACTCGTCCTCATGCTCCAGCTCCTGCTATCACCGCCGCAGCTACCAGAACTGCTGCAGTGCCCTCACTTGTACTGTTTGTACCAATTTCATTATCACTAATGAGCATGCCATCAATCCTGGATCACGGATCGTGGTCATGCAAATCCATAGTCTAATTGTCATATCACGTGAATGAAGCGGCCAGTCGTTTTGGTTGTTGGTATTAAAACTCAGTGTTTTAGGATGTTAATCGCAGTTTTCACCATCGTCCTCATTACCCGAAATCGGCATCATTTTGTTCAGCATCGTTCTCATTACTTTGTTGCTTCTGTCTGGTAGGTTTTGTTTTCAATACTGTCGGCTTCATGCGGATGGTTTATGTTCTTCTTTGCTGTCGTTGTCCTCGTGGTCGTCTTGGTCGTCGTGGTCCTGTCATAGTCGTCGAAGTGGTCGTGGTCGTCGTGATCGTGCCAGTCGCCGTCGTTGTCGTGGTTGGTGGTGGTAGTGTTTTTTGTTATGGTTCTTGTCCTGTACCGTTTGTTTCTGGAAGAAATACCGACGGTAATTGCAGCATACCGTCTTGCTCTGTCTTCTTGCCGTCATCGTGACTCGTTCTTCGTTGTTATCACCATGAAGACTTTGAGGCTCTTCCTGCAGCTGCTTGCAGTACTCCTTGTTCTAACAGCAGTCGTGCACTCTTCCCCAGTCGGTGGGCGAGGTCGTGGACCACTGCTGGGTGCTTTCTGTCTTCCTGTGCGCTGCTTCAGAGGCAGTGGTGCTGCTAGGGTGCGAACCATGCCTCCCATGCCGGAGGGCTGGGTTTCGGATTTCTAGTAGGGTCTGACTTTTCTGTGATTTTATCTCTGGCAGAATGGAGCGCCGATGTTGCCTAGGATTTATCTTCGGGGGCAGGAGATCGCGTTCTGGCAGGATGGGCGCGTCTTCGTTTTCGAAGATGGGGAACTTCGCGAGGACTTTCTGGAAATCGCGGTTTTAACTGAACTTGAAGATGCACCGGTCCGAAATCAGGTGCCACTCTTCACCCATGAATTCCTTCCAAGATCTCTCTCGATATCGGCATGTCACCGAGATCAAGAGTCTGATGTAGATCCGCATTCTACAAAATAGGCGGGCAGATGTCGTAAGGCGTAAAGCATGGCGTGCTAGAGTTGCAGCATCGGCTTTGCACAACTATGCAAGAAGTCAGCAAGCTTGTTCCAGCCCCTTGCTCGGTGAGGATGTGGATGTGCGGGCTCATATTGAGAAAGACGAGTCCACTGGCCGGGCTCTCTTCTACCTCTCTCTCTGTCGCTTTGTGGGGTGCCCATCAACTGAAGATGTGCTCGTCCTTTTATGTCCTAAGCCCGAAGCTTGAAACCCTAAATCCTAAACCTTAAATCCTGCTGGGCGGAAAAAGGTGTTTTAAAAACACAACCTTAAATCCTAAGCCCAAGGCTTGATTTCCCTCAGAATCCTTGGGCTGCCTCCCGCATCATCCCAGCAGCAGGATCCCCCCCTCTCTTCCCTTCTGCGCTCTGAGGCCCCAAAGCCGTCGAGCGGGAGCAGGCCAGGCCATGTCCAGGAGTGTAAAAGTCGGTTTAAGGCTTAAGGGTTTGGGTTTAGGGGCTTCGGGGTGTAGGTTTAGGGATGTTTTGCGCACTACCAAAGGCTGAGGAGGTTTTCCTTGAGGATCCTGGATTCAGACCTGGCGATTTCCAGAATTCCCGATGGCTTCGGAGAACGAGAACCCATTCGCCAAGGCAAAAGAGCTGGCAAAGATCATGGGCGAGGCCGTGGTGCGGAGTTTTCTGATGTTAGAAATCAGAGATCTTCAGCGTGTGTAAGATTAATGCTAAGAACTTTTAGCCTTCTGCTTCAAAGGCAGGGCCCACAACCGCATCGGAGCCGCCGCCGGTGCGGCTCACGGCGGTGACGGCGCGAAGGGGCTTGGGCTGATTGGGTTTTTTTGTGGGGTTTAAAGAGACCGTATATATGGTCTCAGAGTTTCAGCCTCTGCGAAGCAGTGCCGACCTGGCACCTCCCCAAATCTTGAAGCCTGTGCCTACACCAGCCATGCTGGCAGGCCTGGCTGCAGGGCTTCGTGGTCGGGGGGGACCAGGGCTACATCGGCGTCTTCCGAGTGGACGCCAAAGCCCATGCCCCTGCCTTACCAAGACTTGGGCTCACAGCCGAAAGATGACGGTTTCGAGCGTTCTGCCAGGGTTTTTGTCTGCGTCCTTGGCTTAAAGGCTTTACGTGGCTAATTCTTCGCCTGCCAAACTCCTCTTCATGATTGAAGGCCGAGAGCCGCCTTGACCGCAGGTGGAGTCCATCGGTACTTTCCGCATGCCTGGCGAGAAGGCCTGCGGTACTTTCGGGCATCGGGCAGCCATTTGGCGTCGGGTTTCGGCATTTGGGTTTTCGGGTTGGTCTTCTGAAAAGTTGGCTGGGATCTGTCCTTTGTGTAGACCAACAGCAGTGGTTCCTGTTGGCATCATGACTCATGATGAGTTATCAGTGGACACAGTTTTTTTTTCAATTGTTTGTCTATGACGAGGCGACAATGTGGAACATGAGCACCAGCACGGAGGACCAATAGTTCTGGCACGTCTGAGGTAAGATGTTCGTGTCTTGTCCAACCGCTTCCTGCCATACCATCTCATCATGTCCGATCAAGGGTTGCACCCCATGCACTCAACTTGTTGTGCCTTTCGGTCGTAGGTTAGCAGCCGTTTGCATCGAGGAGAGCAGCTTGGTGATCCTGTCCTACGAGGAACATGAGCCAGAGGCCCCTGCATCAGACCCTGACAGAAGCCGTTCTGCTTGCATATTGGCCTCTTCTGTGCGCAGTCCCTTGGGAGCAGCAGCGGCATTCGCTCGCGTGGCAATAGCGCCTCGCGCCAGTCAACTGTGCCAGAAACCCAGCACACACAGTGTGTTCCAACGGGACTGGGGAAGAACCGCGCAAAACTGAGAGGCATAGACAGCTCAAAGTCCATCAAAGCTTGAAGCCCTCTATCCTCAGCTGCGGACGCCAAAAGCGCTGTCTGCGTCTCTGAGTTCCTCCGCCAATCCTCTCAACACTGCACTGGCTGAGGTCCCGCGCCTCCTCGGCAACGGGGCGTCAGCGGAACCCGATGGCCAAGTGGGCGCTGCATACGCCCGGAACCTCAGAGAAAAAGGCTTTGAGCAGGCCCGAAGCGCAGTCTACTGTAGCCCCCAACCCACAGTGACATGGACGGAGATGTTTGCATTGTGCCTCCCTGGCATCAGGTTCCCGATTTCCCAGGCCGACCTCGCGGTGACTGGGCAGTGCCGGGCCTATCTGCGGTGTTCCAACAGGCCAATGCGCAAGCCTCTTTCGGTCGTTTTGGTCTCCAGGCTATGGAAGAGCTTCCGTAAACTCGTGCTCCTACACCCTTGGTCCCGACGCCTCTGCAGATCCGAAGGGCTGCACCTAAGAAGGCGCTCAGAGTCACATGTGTCATGGCGTACAGAGAAGATAATGAGCAGGTAAAGCTCATGGTTCCGCAGGATAAGAGCTTTGGTGTAAACCTGATGCCGAACTCCGAACCTTAATGCCGAACTCCAAACCTTAACCCCCAAAACAACCCTGAACCGGAGACCCTGAGACCCTAGCCCTAGACTCCGAAAGTGTGAATCAAACAGCAGTCCCAGGTTGGAAGTGTTTACTCCGGTCTTCCGCTTTGGGACTCATCAAGGGCTCATTACCGTCAGGTCCTCGGCCTTCAGCTAGTACTTAGCGTGAGTTACGCATAAGACCACTTCTCACATGGATGCGATCGCTGCTATTTCTTACTATTGCTCCTGCTACTCCTGCTACTACTACTACTACGACGACGACGACGACTGCTACTACTTCGACGACGACGACGACGACGACTTCTGCTACGACGACTACGACTACGGCTACGGCTGCGGCTACGGCTACGGCTACGGCTACGACCTACACGGCTACTACGATTGCGACGACGACGACTGCTACTCCTCCTCCTCCTCCTACTCCTCCTGCTACTCCTACTGCTACTGCAACTGCTGCTGCTGCTGCTGCTGCTGCTGCCGCTTCGGCTTCTGCTTCTGCTTGTGCCACGGCTTTTGCTACAATAACAACAACTACTACGACGATGACGATGACTTATCAGCAGACCTGCGCCGCCGTGTCCACAAGGCAATGAAGCCGGCTTTCAGCCAGAGCCTTATGTGGCTTCATGTTCACAAGGGTTTAGAAGCTTGTGGGTCTTGCTTTGGAAGTTTATCGGTTCTGGAGACTAGCAATCTGTGCAATCGACGGTTCTGGTAAGGGGACATTGATTTCTCCCGCCGGTTCGTTTGCAGAGCACCTCGTAAGCTCCCATATACTCTGTCCACCTATCAAGATCGCCGCATCATCGCCAGCACTGCAGAGGACCGGTATCGGCACGCCAATAGTGCTGAGAGCGATCTTGCTCGTGGTGCATGGGCACCGAATTTGCACCTATTCGGCCGTCATGCAATGGTGTTGATGGGCTCTCCGACGGGGAGACAACGAGACTTTTCACCAATTGGCATCCATTTCAATGTGGTTGGGCATCCCTCCTTAATTCAATAAGCAGCCTTCGCCTGTCACATTGATGCATCGGTGCGATGTCATGATGTCTTCTTGGCTCCTAAGTGCGAGACAGCCCCGGATGCAGGACAAGATGCTCAAAGTGTGGAGCTTCCCCACGGAAGAGGGAGAGGACCGTCGGGCAATGCGACTGCATGAAGCTTTCTCTTCGTGCATCTAGCTGAGCCTTGCAAACCATGGGATTTTGCCTAAAAAAGGTTATACTGCTCGTCTTCTCCCCAGTCTCAAGCAGGCTTTCGCCTGCCTCGTGCAAATCTCTGGTCAAATCGTTACGGCTGCCATAGTCAATAAACGCACTGGCGAATGTGATGTACAAGTTTCTGGAGTGGCAGAGGCTTGCAACTTTGCTGTCGCTCCAGGCGATGCCGATGGCATTTTCTCCAGAACTGAGCATACAGGCGGGTGCCCATGATGAGGGTCTTTTCGCGCCGGCTTGGATTTCGGAGATCATTTGCCATGAGGTTGCCGACATCCCGAGCACCAGAGATATTCCTACGAGGGGATTAGGCAACGGCATAAATCTCGACAAACTCCCATCCCGAAGCCTGTTCAGTTTTGTTTGTGGGCGAAATCAGCATATTTCCTTGCGTCCGAGTGTCTCAGGTCTCCCCATATGAGTGCGCCAGCGCTATGGCAGTGCCTCTGCCCTGGAACTCTGGTCGGTAAGCGCGATGCACAGACGTCTCAGACTCCCGTGGCATATCTGCACAATGCAGTCTGCCGGAGCCCTTTAAGCTTGCCACGCCTGCTTGTTGCTGGGCTTTCTCCTTGTGGATCGTGCTTCATGCCTTAGGTGGCCGTATGATACGATGGCTGCATATAAAGCGACGCATTTTTTGTCAAAACTGCCGACTGCCTGAGATCTTCAGGCACCCACTGGGCTTTCAGGTCGCTGTTATCCTGGAGGCAGGCTAATGGTTCAGCCATCCAAAGACCAGTGTGATGTCCTTTGTGAGGACACGGTTCGGATCTTCCACCTCACGCTGTCGTCTCAGAGTCGCTGCCAGCATCTTGCAGTCCGTCTCTGGAAAACTTACCTACATGGGATCGTATAGTCACGTCTTCTAAGGGTTCAGCAGGGTCCCAGCCGGGTCGTGCCAAGTGCCGAGGCCACCCCAGGCTTCTCGAACTCATTTCGTCACGAGCCTCAGTACTCGGCTTGGGGCTCTCAAGCGGGTTCCACTGCACCGAAAGCAGTGAATGCTCAGTTAGCTAAGCGGCTAAGCGCTTCGTTGTTTGCTGCGAGGGTCGCAGGATGCATGCGATCTAGACAGCGAAGCCGTAGATAATTGGTAGTGGCATTCGGAGGTCTCCATTGTAGATTGGCTGTTTGGTTCAGGAGCCAGGCGGTGGACATAGCATCCTGGCATGCTGACACTTGCAAGGATCTGGCCCTGAAGAACCCGGGCGGCGTCGCCTACTCGCACGGCGGGAGGGCTCCTCAGCATCCCCGAAGCCGTCAGTCACCAGATTCGGGATCGCGAAGTTGGGTGACAGCAGAAGGCAAGTCTGTCACCGGCTCCAGAATGATACGTCGTTGGCAACTTTGTATTTTCGGATTTTCCTTGCTATGAAGCTGAACTAATCGTTGCCCGGATGCACAAGCTACGATCTGCGCCTACTTCGCTGACACACTCAGGAGTCTTCTCGCGGTCTCCTCGGACAACGATGTGGTCAAGTTCTGAGCGTGCCATTCACCCTGTGCTCTCAGCCCATCTCCCGGCAAGATGTAAGCAGAAGTCGTGAAGCCACCTAGTCGCCGTAGCAGCTGGATCGCAGTTTCTTCAAGGCTGCATGCATCCAATGTCACTTTCAGATGCCGTTCTGCCATCAGCATCCTTGAGTCGGCCATCCCCCGCACTCCACTTCACTGAGGCCTTGATCGATCCGTGGCGAGCGGTGGTGATCCACCTGCATGGACCTTAAGGGCAGAGAAGATGGAAGTTGAGTCTGAGAGAGCCCAGTGTTGCTCACTTTTGGAAGGCTTCTCAGCAGGCCTCTTTGCTTCTTCTCCTTGAACGCCTCCCACAAAGGCCTCGTCAAGTTTTCCTACCTGCTTCACTTCACGAAACACCACCACGACGATTGGAAGTCATCCGCTTCCTTTCGCCATTGCACTCAGAGTTGCTGAAACGCTGGCTGGGCAGTAGCTCCCAGGGAAACAACGAGTTCTTGATCCTGGACTTTGTGCTGCAGTTCTCGTCCTGCTGGCTAGAGCTCAAGCAAGCGCTTCACTTTTTTGGCAGGTTCCCACAGAATGCCTGCAAGAAAAACTGAGACTAAGACAGCAAACCCTTGAGGCCCCTCAAGCTCAGTGTCCCGAACGTGAGAATTTGAAGCCTCGGCTCCGAAGGCCCACGAAGCCAAGCCAGTGCGCTTTCCTTTGAGGTTCAGTGGACGAGGCGGTGGGCATGTTTCCACAGTGAATGAGGTCCTCTTCTCACAGGCCACGGTGCAGCTCGTCGTATCAAGGGTTAAAGGGTGAGGAGGGTCTAGAGTTTCGAGTTTGGGGATGCTGTCGATCGTCGTTTGCTTGACACTGCACGATTTGAACAGACCTTCTTGTTCAACCATGCTCGATGCCCCACGGTGACCCGGAGGATGACCGACTTCTGCTTTCCAGTGGCATAGCCCCCCACGGGGCCATCTATGGCCACGGCACCCAAGTCTTGGGAAAGGCTTGAAGGATCGAGTTTTTGGCCGGAAGCAAAGGGGCCCTTTGCTTGAGTTCTGGAGTTCCAGCTTTGTTCAACTCTAAATGGTGGTGGCTGCCTGCAAAAGCCCTACCGTCGGAACTGGTCAGCTGCAGATTTCAAGGCTGGGATCTCTGCTCAGACACCCGCGAGCGGGCCTTCGAGCACGCGCGGGACCCATGGGAGGGCGTCACGTCTGTTTAGTACTGGTGCTGATGGACAGCGTCCTTCATTGCCTTGGCCATCCTCAGCTATGCGAATCCGGTACTTGTATGTCAGGATTTTGTTTATCGGCCTGGTGCATGAGTGCTCCCCAGATCCCGAATAAGTTGTGACGATTGTCATGATGCTGGTGGTGAAGTGCTGGTGGTGACTGTGCTGATGGCACAACGGGACTGCTACCAGCCCCACCAGTCACCACCAGCACAATACATCAGCATCTACCGCTGCTGTTGCCCCTACTGCTCCTACTACTGCCACTGCTACTAATATTACTGCGGCGACTACGACGGCGACTGCTACTACTGCTGCTTCTGCTTCTGCTTCTGCTTCTGCTTCTGCTTCTGCTTCTGCTTCTGCTTCTGCTTCTGCTTCTGCTGCTGCTTCTGCTACTGCTACTGCTACTATCTGCTACTGCTGCTGCTGCTGCTGCTACTGCTACTGCTATTGCTACTGCTACGAGGAGACTACGGCGACGACCACGACGCGACCTTTGACTGTTGCTGCCACTGCTGCTAATTCCCCTCGCACTGCTGTGGGCACAGGTCGTGTGACCAGAAAAACTACTTTCTCCGAATGACATCTCTGTTTTTTCTGTGTTCGAGACCCAACGAGGCAATATCAAACTAGAAAGACGTGTGCTGCCGGTGGCCTTGCTGACCCAACCTGAGAAAGGGTCCCTCCCATTAAAGCTACCTTCTGCCGAGATCTGCAAGCACGCCACCTACACAGACCTGAGCTTCGACTGTCAGAGAAAGCGAGCTCCTGAGCCCATTGAGCGTCTCCTCCAGAGGACTCGAAGCACTGGTCCAAGGTCACTTAGGGCTCACCTGCAGCCAAATTGGAGATTTGTGTGAAGATATTGGACGGTCGAGCAATTAGCAGAAATTCGTGTTCTCAGGCCTCCGACTGTATTGCGTGCACAGACAAACTGGGAAGCAAAAGCACTTATGAGCTGAGGGTCAATTGGGTAGCATA